CGTGACAGACACATTTCACTGGGAGTTTTTTCCTGATATCAAGTTTGGGGAGGACGTTAAAAGTCTGACTCACACAGACAGAGGGGCAGGCTCATTTGTGAGTTGTAAAGGTGGCTTCATTCTCAGGACTTTTTCCTTCCTGCTCTGCCTACAGGAGGGGGGGCCAGGCTCTGGGCCTCAGGAGGTGCATGGTGCCAGGCCAAAAACCCAAGGGCAGACTCTCTCCCTGTGTGTGGTGACACTGAGCTACTGGTCCTGTGGAGGGAGGGAAAGGGAGAGGACAGGGCCATGGATGGTGAAGCAGGTGAGAGAATGGGGCAAAGCTATCCTCAAGCCCAGCTTTGGACAGAGGCTCTTAGGTTGGGGTTCTAGGGGTCTTCAACTTCCTCGTTCTTGGTCCCCCTAAATGTGACTGGGCCTCCCAGGCAGTAGCTTTGGGGCACACCTAGAGGTTGCCTAGAGGTTCTCAGCCCTAGCAAGACACCCGTACCCAGCTGATGGAACCACAAGAATTGGATCTGAGCCCCTCCTGGGGTGCCTCTAGTGAGCAGGCAGCGTGGAAGGGTGACCTCAGTGCCCTGCTGGTCCTCTGGCCTTGGGAGTAGGGTCAGGAGCCCCAACAATGCCTCAGTCCAGTGTCATTGATTAAGTAAATAAACATAACGTTTCCTGTGCTTATGGGATAAGAGTCAAACTAGCACACATACACACATATCTCTTCTTATGCAGGGCAACTGTTTTAGTTTTTGATTTTTGGTTTTAGGTTTGTTTTGGTACAACCGGTTTCCAAACGTTTCCTTCCATCACTTTTTTGTCTTTGAATCAAACAAACTTGATTTTCCAATTATATGAAATTAATTTAAACAAATTAAATACACTATAGTGTTCTACCTTAGAATATCAGTTACCCAGGCACTAGAGAAGAAAGAAGAACAGAAGAATTTTCTAGAAAAGCAGAGGGTAGGTACTCGTAGGACTGAGGGAGGAGGCTGCGATTGGGAAGGGGCGTGGGGGTGCTTCTGGGGCAGGCAAGTTTCTACCTCCATTCCTGGGAGGGGATTATGGTGCTGCTTAGAGGTCATCATGGACACAGGTCCAGACTGCCCCCTGGTGGTGCTTCCATCACCCTCCAAGATCTCCAAAGTGGGAGCCGACTCTTGAGTTGCCAAGTTCTCTCTCCCAGGCCCTTGGGTGCTCCCAGTGGAACCTACAGCCAAGAAGGAGAAGCAGAGGAGATGCAGAATCAAGGGAAGGAGGAAAAATGAAAGGTTCTCTGAGTTTCTCTGTGTGTGGTAGTTCCTCTTGGCTGCCAGGCAAGAGGCTGGTGAGGTCTCCTTCTAGGCTAGTGATGGTGGCATCCAGAAGGAGTCTCTGCAAGGGCTGCTGTGGCATGGCATTGCATCCCTCTGTTGACCACTATGACTCTAGAATCCCCCCCAGTCACCTCCAAGGCCTGGTGGGCAGCCCATGGGGAGCCCACCTGAGCCCAGCCTCTCAGGGTTCCATGACTCCTCCTCTGGCTGGCTTCCTCCAAACCCATGGCCCCTATGCTCTCTCTAAAAATAACCCCCAACGGCATCTAAATTTGTGACTTTTATACCTAATTCCTCTTGACATTATTTTTAAATCCTACTGCCAGATTTACTTATAATTAATGATGTTAAAACAGTGAAGTACCATTTTTGCCTATCAGATTGGCAAAGATTAAAGATCACAAACATCAAGTGGTGGTAACAGTCCAAGAAGTACAAGTTGGTATAAACTTTTCAGTGGATGATTTGGCAATATCTTCCAACATTTAAATTATGCACGGCTTTTGACCCCTCCTTTCCCCTGCCATATATGGATGTGTCTATCTACATTATACCTTTATTAGGAGGAGATACTCAGCATAGCATTATTTGAAACAGCAAAAACCCTGAAACGATCTAAATAACTACAAAAATAGGACATCTGTTAAATAGTGTGGGCCACATCCAAACAATGGAGTACATTGACTATTAAAAAGAATGAGGCTTTCCAGTGTTAATGACATGGAAAGGTGTCCCTGATTTATTGTGAAATTTACAAAAGCAAGTCACAGAATAGTGTAATGAATTTTTTTAAAAAATCAAACATATAAAAAATAGTGAAAGGGAGTAAAGGGGAAAGGAGAAAAAATGAGTGGGAAATATCAGAAAGGGAGACAGAACATGAGAGACTCCTAACTCTGGGGAACGAACAAGGGGTGGTAGTATGGGAGGTGGGCGGGGGGTTGGAGTGACTGGGTGACGGGCACTGAGAGAGGTACTTGATGGGATGAGCACTGGGTGTTATTCTATATGTTGGCAAATTGAACACCAATAAAAAATAAATTAAAGTAAATAAATTAAAAATAAATAAATAAATATATAAATAAATAATCAAACATCATGGATATGTATCTATCCTCCTAAATCCAAGTAGAATAGCATCTGGATGACACCAAATGATTCCAACAGCATTCCCTCTGGTGAGTGAAACAGGTAGGGATGCAGTAAGAACAAATGACTTCCGTAAGACTGGAAATTATCTACAACACCTATGCGTTGTGTTTATAACTTAAAAGGTAATGAGGACATTTATTTTTTTTAAGTAGGCTCCACGCCCAATATAGAGCCCAAGTGGGGCTTGAACTTACAACCCTGAGATCAAGATCTGAGCTGAGATCAAGAGCCAGACCTTCAACTGAGCTACCCAGGTGCTCCAACAATTTTTAAATTTCAATTCTGACAGTTAATAGATCTTCCCCTTCCCCATTGCCCACCCCGTTCCCAGCCCTCCAGAGCTTCCCACTTCCTGAAATATAAGGAAGTTCTCTCACCTCCCAGGTAGGGGTAAAGATTTAATTAACAGACTACTCAGCAAGCAGGAAGTGCACTGACAAGATGTAAACAAAGGGTGTGCCTCCTAAATAGCCATTGGTCCCTCTTCCCCTCCCCTGCTTTGCATTCACAACTTTGTGTCTCTCTTCAGCCCAACCATTCCCCTCAATGGAGAAATCTTTGAATTTGGTGGCTACAGTTCCCTCTACAACCACCATCGGCTGCACATTCTCTGGGCTCTGTGTAGCTCACCCCTTCCTCAGCAATTCTGTGACACTTCCCATGTGTCAGGAGCCTCTTGAAGATTAATTTCACCTGAAATACAAGCTCTTCACCACAGCCACCCCATCCCTGGGTTTCCACACTTGGCCTGCTCCATCGCCTCCTTGGAAGATGTCCCTCCCGTGGGGCCCCATTTCTAGAGCTTCCCTTCCCTGTCAAGGCCCATCTCCTTTTCCTGAGACTCATTGTTGACTCTTCTCTCCCACAAGATGGTGCTTTCCTTGGGGAGACTTCAAGGAACTCTAGTGTTTCCAAGATTTACACAGCCTGGAACCTGGAAGCATTCAAGATTTATTGATGAAGTTGAGAGAGAAAAAGAGAGAAAGGAAGGAAGGAAAGAAGAAGGAAGGAAGGAAGGAAGGAAGGAAGGAAGGAAGGAAGGAAGGAAGGAAATGAATGAGTTAGGGAAGGAAATAGGAAAGGAACACTTTCCATTTTTGCCATGGGATGGGCAACTTATTTCATTTCAAGGTGGTCCTCATCTTGATTTTTCTTTTTTAACTTTTCCTTTCTTTTCTCATCCTTTGCCCCTCCCTCCAAGACTTTTTGTTTTCTCATTGGTCCCTGCCAAGCTCTCTTAGGGTCTATCTTTCCAGCCAGTCTGTCTCAATAATAACAGCAGCCACTTATTAAGCTCTGTGCCAGTGAATACTGTTTACTACCTCGTAGGTCCTTGCCTGAATACTTTGCCATAGGTATTCTCCCCATTTTACAGAGAGAGAAGTTGAGGCTACTGAGGTGGAGCTAGGATTTGACCCTTAGGTTTATCTGGTACCAGAGCTCTGCCCACAACCCCAGTGCTCAGATGTACTCTACTTCCCTATACAGCCCAGTGAGGCCACATTCACACCCATCACTGTGGCCTGACATCTGCTTGGACTTGTCCCAAGTCCTGGCATTTCCCAGGAATTTGAGAATTTGGTGGCTGCAGTCCCTCCCACAACCACCACCCCAAGCATGCAGGCTGACTTTCTTATACTATTTGCCATACCTTCTTCTGACACCTGTGAACTCCATGCATATGCAGACTTAAACCACACACCTGTGCAGGTCTCACTGCACATGTCATGGCTGTACCACTGGTGCCTGGCACAATGCCTAGTGCTTAGTAGGTGCTCAGTAAATATATTTGGAATGGATGAATGGATGTAAATATTCCTCTTGATCTTCCTGAACCAAAAGGAGAGGGGTCATAAATTTGGCTCTTCACCGTTAAAAGATTGTTGTTGTGGGTAGGATTGTGTCCCCCTCACCCAAATTATATGTTGAAGCCCTAACCCCCACCCCAGTACCTCAGAATGTGGCTCTATTTGGAAAGAGGACCTTTAAAGAGGTGATTAAAGTAAAATGAAATCATATGGTGGGCTCTAATCCAACAGGGCTAGTGAATAAGAAGAGATTAGGCCAGAGACATGCATGCACATAGAAGAAAGGCCATATGAGGCCACAGCAAGAAAGTGACCATCAACAAGCCCAGGAGAGAGACCTCAGAAGAAGAAGCCACACTTGCCAAAACTTTGATCTTGGACTTCCAGCATCCAAAAGCATGAGAAAATAAATTTGTTGTTTAAGCCACCCAGTCTGCAGTGTTTTGTTTTGGCAGCCCTAGCAAACTAATACAATTGCCAATCTCTGTCCCAAACCATGGCAGAAGCGATGTCAAAGAAACATTTTTTTTATGGTTAGCATTTCCCATTCATATAAGCCAGAAAAAAAACTGTACTGAGTATGCGTTTCATGGTGCTTTGAAATTCAAAGTGTATCTATGTGACAGGCCTAGCTGTAAGAAAGCCCTTTGTGAGGTCATCATGCCACTCTTGCCAGATCTGTACAGATGGAGACATGCAGGCTTTTGAAATCACTTGAGGAGACACCATGCCTCACTTTACAAGTCCTCTTTTAAGAAACATCATTAGCAGAAATCCATTTGATAGCATCAGGAGGAAGCAATGTCTCCAATATTTGAAAAGCCTGAGATCACTGCAATATGATGGATTTAAGACCATATATTTTGGAGAAACTGATATTGCTGAAAGTCTTGTAACTGGGGTAGAAGATCTTAGTGATGGGTACTTCATGCACACTCCAACTTGGTGTATTGTGCATGCTAGTAGTAGTCAAGGATGGGTGCCTTGGAAGTATCGGATGTTCCTAAGAGACGAGTTATGCATCAAACGGGAAGAGAGCCTCTTCTTTGAGTTTTGCGATGTGGTGAAGAAGGCCTATGGCAAGTGTGCCATTGTGGTCAAAGAGAGAAGGCAGCAGGACAAGGTGAAGCCAAAAGAAGACACAGAGCTGGAGGCCCAGGTCCGTGTCCCATCAGTCATTAACTTAACGAGCATTGTGTGTTGCCCTGAGGTAGCCAAGTCCTGTGGCCATGAACTACTCTCTTTGCCTTCCCCTTACAATTACCTAAACCCTCTAGACTCAGCCTGGTCTTCTCTGAAATGGTTTATCATCAATAACAGAAAGGAGTTTTGTTTGCAGTACATTGACAATGTCTATTCTTACCAGTATATACTTCTCAGCAATTTAATTAGTAAGGGGATTGGAAGGATAAACTCAAGCAAATGGAAAATACTAACCAACAAAGTACGTAGATGGGAAAACTACTATCTTGGCAAATTTTCTTAAGGGTGACTCCTCTAACAAGCAGTTGGGACCATACTATGGGCATAGTCTTTACCAACTCTGCTGGGCTCGACTCTGGACCCAAAGATACTCCAACAGCGGCCTCAGGGGGATGCTGTGAGGACCAAGGTTTCTAAGGCTGTTGGCAAAGTGCTGGAAAAATGCTCTATGTTTACTGAGGTTTCCATTAAAGCTTGTTGGTAAATTAGGGATCTCGACTCCCATCTTGTTGAGGCCACCTTGAGAGCTATGCTAATGGGAGGATGACAACTAGTCCAGCCCAAAGGAGCTCAATGGTGAGCAGGGGTGAGCAGAGCTAAAGGTTGTGTCATCAAAATTTAGGTCAGAAAGGAAAAGAGCCAAGTGTGTAGTCACCAAAGAGTTGGAAATGGCGTGCCAACTAGTTTTAGCCAACCAAAATAATCCACAGGGAGCCAGTTTGCCATGAGCAAGATAAGTGGTCCAGACAGTGGCTGAGCAGGCTCATTGCTTCCCATTGCTTGGAGAAAACAGTGTCAAAGTTTGAATGAGAGACATCCGAGGTGAAATCCCATCCAGATGCTCCAAGGCAAGTTGGTGGTCCCAATAAGGCACCTGGAGAGCTGTAGTAGTTGATTGATTCACCTGGGACTTGGTGGGTGAACAGATGAAGTGAGCAGGGTCTGTGGAGCCCACTTATCCAATCTTTCAGCCCAACACCTCGAATCCTACCAGGAGTTCGTTAGACTTTGCCATGGAGTTGCATCTTGGGGTCCCGAGAGCCAAGACACCTGTGGCTGGCGCAGCACACCTAACTCAGGTTTAAAGCTGCTGCCAATGTGGGCTGTAAGGATTTGCGGTGGTATTTTTTTTAACTTTTATAGAAAAAGACCTGCCTCCAATTAAACATACCAGAAATGTCACTCCCACTTATATATGTCGAGGCAGTAATTTTACAACAGACATAACTAATCCAGAGGGTGTCAAAAACAACTCACGAAAATTTCTGCCTAACTCCTAACAGAATTGCCCATAGATAAGACTGTGAGGCCAGGTTCCTGATAGCCAGTTGCAGAAAGCCTCAGATGATTTGCTTGTCTTCCTGTCCTGTTTTCCTCCAGAGCCTCCCTGGATTTTTTTAGAAATATGTGGTCCGATGAATAGAGATGTTCAGTGATTTTCAGCAGTCAAGTGGTGGACGTATCTGCATCGTTTTGTTGTCGTGAGTTTTATCCGGGGAATGAACCAGTTGCAACTGCAACCACCAATCCCCCAGAACCCGGCAACCTCAGTTGTCACACACCTCACGTCACAGCCAGCCAGCTGTCTTGGTCTCCCGTGGCTGCTGTAACAGATTACCACAAACGTGGTGGCCCTAAACGACAGACACTTACTGTCTCCCAGTTCTGGAAGCCAGAAGTCTGAAATCCGCTCCACTCAGCTGAAATCGAGGTGTGGGCAGGGCCGCACTCCCTCCAGAGGCTCTGAGAATCAATCATCCCTCGCTCTTCTGGCTTCTGGTGGCTGCTGGCATTCCTTGGCTTGTGGCCACACCGGTCCAATCCCTGCTTCTGTAGCCTCATTACTTTCTCCTAATTCCCCTCTGCCTCCCTCTTGTAAAGACACTCGTGGTGGCACTCAGGTCCCATCTGGGTAATCCAGGGTCCTCTCAAAATCATTAACTTAATCCCATCTGCAGGGATTCTTTCTCTATGTAAGGTAACCTTTCACAGGTTCCAGGGATTAGGAGCTGGATATCTTTGGGGACCATTATTCAGCTGACTGTAGATGCTAGAAAGTCTTCTGTCAACTGAAATACAGCGTTCTCCACCAGGATTAACCTGGTGAAACAGCTCTTACTGTGTGGTACGCTTCTGTGAGTCTTTTTTGCTACCTGTTTCACCTATGTTTTAGAATTTAGGTTCCTTGAGAGCAGGTAATAGGACTTAAACCTCCTTGGTGACTTCAGGACACTGGCACCGTGCAGGCCCCAGGGTAACTAGCCTGGGTTTGGGGGTATGAGTGTGCTTGGCCCCTATATCACGCTTATGACACATCTACCCAAGATCTACGTAGTAATAAGCACTCACAGCTATGCCTCCTTAACTCATTTAGTCCTCCCAACAGACCGTGATGGAGGAGCCACTGTTCTGTGTTTTAGATGGGGTAAACTGAGGCATGGAGAGATCATGTAACTCACTCCAATGTGGAGGAGCTAAGGTTCAAACCCAGCGTTCACACATGCAGGCATTATTCATGCTGCCTCTCTACTACAGGGCAGTTCATTTAATCCCGTAACCTCCCCCCCCCCATGGAGGCTCAGCCATTACAGGTGAGGAAGCCGAGATGTTTTGAGGTCACGCAAGCCAGTCAGACTCTAACACCCACGTACCTAAGCACCATGCTTGGCTTTGTTACTGGAGCCCAGCGTTTTGTTTTTCTCTCCCACAGTTCACGTGGCAAAAGGCTCACCTCTGACAGCTGACAAGGCGCCCGCCTCCAAGTGGACAGCACAACAAAAAGATATTTCAACACAAAATTGAGCAAGAAGCAGGATACCTTGCAAGGACATTATTTTGCAATGAGGGGGAAAGAAATGGAAGGGTTTTAAGGTTCTCAGACAAACAAGATAAACCAAGAAGAGCTATTTTTTTTTTCTGAAAACCAAAATGATCCAAAAAGTCAAGTTGAGGGACCTATTCCCTTGGGACCTGTTTACTCATTAGGAAGGCAAGGAGGGGAAAGACATCAATACAAAAGAGATCAAAAGGACCTCCTTTAACGTGTGATTTAGTTACATAATACTGTATGCATAATTAAGAAACGCTGCTTAATACTAAGCATGGAAACTTCCAGCAGGAAGTAATGGAAAGTACACTGGGCTTTGGGAATTGGGTAGACCTCACTGGAATCTTAAGTTTCTAGCTTATTAACTATGAGGCTTTGGACAAGTTACTTCACTTCCCTGAGGCTGGGTTGGTAAACTAGGGTTGAGGACTTCAAAACACCCAGCACAAGCCATGCCCCTACACCGTGACTGGCACCTCCTGAGTGCCCCGCATGTTGAAGCTCCTATTATTCTTTTCTTTTTCCTGGGATCTAATCTCACCTTTACTTTTAAAAAATTTTTTTTATTGGAGTTCAATTTGCCAACAAAGCATAGCACCCAGTGCTCATCCCGCCAAGTGCCGCCCTCAGTGCCCGTCACCCAGTCACCCCCACCCCCTGCCCACCTCCCCTTCCACCACCCCTTGTTCGTTTCCCAGAGTTAGGAGTCTCTCGTATTTTGTCACCCTCACTGATATTTTCACTCATTTTCTCTCCTTTCCCTTTATTCCCCTTCATTAATTTTTATATTCCCCAAATGAATGAGACCATATAATGTTTGCCCTTCTCCTATTGACTTACTTCACTCAGCATAATACCCTCCAGTTCTGTCCATGATGAAGCAAATGGTGGGTATTTGTCGTTTCTAATGGCTGAGGAATATTCCATTGTATACATAGACCACAGCTTCTTATCCATTCATCTGTCAGTGGACACCGAGGCTCCTTCCACAGTTTGGCTATTGTGGACATGGCTGCTAGAAACATCGGGGTGCAGGTGTCCCGGCGTTTCATTGCATCTGTATGTTTGGGGTAAATCTCCAGCAGTGCAATTGCTGGGTCATAGGGCAGGTCTATTTTTAACTCTTTGAGGAACCTCCACACAGTTTTCCAGAGTGGCTGCACCAGTTCACATTCCCACCAACAGTGCAGGAGGGTTCCCCTTTCTCCACATCCTCTCCAACATTTGTTGTTTCCTGCCTTGTTAATTTTCCCCATTCTCACTGGTGTGAGGTGGTGTCTCATTGTGGTTTTGATTTGTATTTCCCTGATGGCAAGTGATGCGGAGCATTTTCTCATGTGCATGTTGGCCATGTCTATGTCTTCCTCTGTGAGATTTCTCTTCCTGTCTTTTGCCCGTTTCATGATTGGATTGTTTGTTTCTTTACTGTGAGTTTGATAAATTCTTTATAGATCTTGGATACCAGCCCTTTATCTGATAGGTCATTTGCAAATCTCTTCTCCCATTCTGTAGGGTGTCTTTTAGGTTTGTTGACTGTTTCTTTTGCTGTGCAGAAGCTTCTTACCTTGATGAAGTCCCAATAATTCATTTTTGCTTTTGTCTCCCTTGCCTTCATGGATGTATCTTGCAAGAAGTTGCTGTGGCCAAGTTCAAAAAGGGTGTTGCCTGTGTTCTCCAAGAAGCTCCTAGTATTCTAATCCAGGCTGAAGGGCCAGCAAGTGTGCCCGCAAGCAGACCTGATGTCACTGACCTCATCTCCTTTTCTCTCTCGGAGGGAAATTCTTGCTGCTTTTTATCACCACGGCATGATGAGAGTAGACACATCTTAAGACACTTTGATCAAAGGAACTTTGTTCTCTGGCATTTCTTTTAAGACCATCTGTGACAGGTCAGGCAGCTAATGATAATAAGAAGTTTCATCTGGTAGGGTGGACAGGGAGGGTGGTGAGCATAGCCAGGACTCTTCAAGAGCAACCATGTGCGGTGCTTACATGAAACCTAACAGTAGGTAACAAGGCACAGCAATCCTGCGTGTGTGGACAAGTCCTCTGGAAGAGGTTTCATGATGTTGGTGGCGCCACTGTCCTTCTGAGGTTAGTTGATGAGTCATCCCATCCTCTCTGGACCTCACCGTCACCAACAACATCCCCACCCCCTCTCCATGGCACGGTGACTCCCAAAGAGGTGGTGTGTTGGAATGGGCTGTCCTAAAATGAGCCCAAACATAAAACAGGCAAATGCAGCTGGATGTCCAGTGGATCCTGTTTTGTTTACCCAAGGAAAGTCCAAGCTCAGCTGGGCTGATGGAGCCGCACCTGCCCAATCGGGGCTCAGTTGCCTACCCAGGCGGTACATGCTCCTTCCATTTGTGACTGTTTTCTACATACAAACCGTTTTTACACACTTGACCTCATTCAGTTTAGATGATCATCCTGTACATAGGCAGACCAGTGATC